TGTATGGATTCAACCGCTGAATAATTTCGTATATTTTAAATCCATCTAAACTTTTACATTTGCGCATTTATATATATGTATTTAACATTTAATTTAAGTAAACGTTTCAATATTTGTCCAAAAACTTTGAACTTCGAAAAATACAGTTTTATGGTTATTAATGGAATCAAATATATTTAACGAATTTTTATTTTATCTAAATCATAAAACGTTCAAATGAAGCTCAAAATATTTTTCCAGTTTAAAAAAAAGCAATGTGCTTTGATGCCGTGTCACGCATGCATAAAAAGGAAAGAAAAGAGAGGACAACTATTGCGTTACGAATAATACAGTCGCATACGTCACTCGACATCGAAACAATGTTATTCATGTCTGTGTATATTCTATTCATTTGCGTGTATTCTCATTCCGTATACGTAATGTCCGTATAAGGGAAACACGCAAATATTGTATTTTTCACACTTACACAACGCACGCATACTTTTACCGATTTCTTTAAAACTTCACATAAACCATCTATGGACCAATACCAATGTGAAAGTTTGATTGAAATCGGTGAATGCGTTTAGGCGTGAATCGGCGACTAACGAACACAAAAAAACGTCTCCATTTTTATATATATAGATTACATATATGGCTGGTAGTTAGGCAAGTGCAAATGACCCCACCGACGAGCTAGGCCAGGGCAAGCTAGCATGCCTACATGCCACTTCGCCCTACAATAAACATGCGGTTACATAACACTGTTTATTCGACGGTGACAAATTCTTATTTGCAATAATATTACCATCGAAAAAGGAAATAAAGTTAAAAATGGCAACGTCTTGATTATAAAAAAGGCTATAAGATGACCATCGAAGAAGAAAATAAACCTAAGAATGGCGGCGTCTTGCGCTTATTTGCAAAAAGTACCACTAATCAATACTTATTTTCGTGATTTAGATACTTGCAAATAAAAAATTAACTCAACGTTTACACGGAAATGTTTACTATTTTGCAAATTGTTATTTGCAAATAATACGTGCGTTTAAACGTAGTATAAGATTATACATGTATATGCAAATACCCGTTTTTATGGTTTTTCAGCCCTATAGTTTTGGACTGTGTAATAGAGTTGTAGATCGCCGACCTAAAAGCGCGGAATAAACAGTTACTACAGGAAAAGGCCAAACTTAAAGGTCAGTTACGCGAATGTGCCTGTATAATGTCTTTCATTCGGAAGGTATTTATGGAAGGCCAGGTTCGACGAATGGTTGTAAAAGATTTGTATAGGCTAAACGTGTGCTGATATTTCCGTGGGTACCTGCCGAATCCGGTCCTACTCCACAGCGCTCAAATCGCAGTGGATCAAATTAATCCGATGATTAGCGCCCCTTAATACAAGCATCTCGGTACCAATTGGCAGCGCGGAATGGACATACTTACCACCTTGGTAAGGTTCGACGCCTATGTAAACCTCTGCCGTACTATGGGTCCGGCACCCGGTTGCAATGCAACTCCACATTGAGCCACACGACTCTTCCCGCATTTGGGTTTAAACCACAGCCACCACGATACTCCCCGTAAGGCCAAGCCGCACGAGCAGATTGGCGCAAGCTCCA